AGGTTTTGTGTCCATATCTGTATATTTTCAACTTCAATTATTTTTCTTTTTTGTTTCTAAAGCCTTTCCAAATAATAGGATTTTGATTCATTTCAAAAGGATGTCTTTACACCTAGGAAATATGAACTAGACATTTACCTTGATGAACCTAAGCTTGATAGTAATATAGATTTAGACATTTTGAAGTTTTGGCAAGGGAGCCAGTATAGATTTTCTTGTGTTTCAGCTATGGCCCGTGATGTACTATGCATTCCAATAACATTAGTAGCATATAAAGTGCCTTCATCAATAGGAGTAGAATTTTAGATCAATATCAAAGTGCATTGAAACATCACTACAGGAAAAATGCCCATTACTGGCGGTTCATGGACAGCCGGTGTTACCGGCGGTGTGACCGCCGGCTTTTAACGGCGACCTAACTGATGATTTTGCTACGTTAAGCCGCCGGTACTAGCGGCGGTCCCTAAACCGACGGTAAACCGTCGGACATCAATATGAACCGGCAGGAGTAAAATTCTACTCCTATTGATGAAGCATCACTACGTTGCATACAAGAACTCATCAACATCAAGCTGACCATCAGTGGGTTGATGAGAAGTCTAAGAAGGCTCATGTGAGTAAAATTTTTTGGAGTTTTAGAATAAAAATTTATTTTAATAAAACTAATTCTAACTCGCAGGATGATTTTATACGAGCTAGAGAAAGTCGGCAGTCTACTGGCGAGGGATCATCTTCTGGATCGGCCCACATTTCTGAGTATCAAACATGGTCAGAAGTTGTTGGTGGAAGACAGAGGGGGAGGGTATATGGAATGGGTTCATAGGCTTATGCTATTGAGGGCAGCTCATACTCCTCTGTATTTCATGATCCAAGTGGAGCTGAAGAATCTGTAAGAGAGAGGGTTCCAGCGCTTACTAGAGAGATTGAAGAGATGAAAAGGGTTCAATCTAGAGAGATTGAATAAATGAGAAAAGTTCAAAATGAAATGCAAGCAGAGTTGCAATCCTACAGAGCTGAAGAACAGAGGAAGAAAGACCAACAGGAGCAGCCATCTGCAGATAGTGAGGATACAGATGTGGATTAGATATTTTTTATGTTTGATGATTGTATTAATTAGAACTTATGAACTTGTGATTGTAACCTTATCATGAACTTACTTCTGAACTTGTGATTGTAATCTTATGATGATCTTGTGATTGTATTTATCATTTATGGTTCTGATGAATATAGCGGCGTGTTGCCCAAAATATCTTGCTTTTTCTGCAGGTTTAGACTTTAGGGTGAACCTCCCTCAAATAGAGGGGATGCTGTCAATTTTTTTTTGCAGGTGCTACATGTTTCCGGCGGCCAACCGGCGGTTTGGCCGCCGGAAACTACGATACCGGACGGCCAATGCCAAGCCGCCGGTAATGGCATTACTTCACCGGTAATAAACCGGTGGTTACCGACAGCCACCGGCGGTGTTACAGTGGACGTCCGGCGGTGTACACCGTCGGTAATACCGACGGCTGTAATCGCCAGATACCGCCGGTAAATGAACCGGTGGTCTACCAGCTCTTGCCGGCAGTTTAAGAAAAAAATGACGCCCGCTTTAACCGCCGGAAGACTGTCGGTAATATGACCGACGGTCAGCCGTCGGTTAGATAACCAGCGGCGTAACAGCCGGAAAACCGCCGGGTCCAAATCCGGTTGTCACCGGCAGTATGAACCGTCGGAAAACCGCCGGCAACATAAACAGCAGGTACATGTTTCCTACACAATTTTTTCCGGCGGCGGGAATACCGCCGCAAAGCCGCCAGTAATCCATAAAACCGCCGGTTAATCTATAGTAACCGCCGGAAAAAAATGCCGAATTTTGACGTTTTTCCTGTAGTGCATGATATTGTCAAGGCACTAATTTGTGCTAAGGACTGGTTATATGGAGAACATGGTGATTATTCATTCATCTTATAACAGTTTTATGTTTGACAATTCTTTCATTTATTTAATATTTCAAAATCATTTATCTTATTTTATTGCAGCAGTAAATGACCCCGAACTTGATCTAGTAACTGATGATATCCTTAATTTAGATGTGAACAGAAATGATGTAGAGCTTGGTGAAAGCTCAGTTGTTGGATAAACAAAATTGATAGAGAGCATGCCTATTATTTATTTCATGCATATTTATATTTCGTTCTAAGTTTCAAGAACTGCAAGTAGGTTAGCTATTATTTCATTTTAGTTGATGTTATGCTATTGAGAGTCATAATTTTTCTACTTTGCCATGTTTGTTCCATGTCATTTTGGTTGCTTTTGTGGGTTTGGTTCCTATAATTTATGGTGGATTTTTTGGATTTGTTCACTACTGTGTTTCCTGGGATGTTGACATGTTGTCTTGGTTGTTGTCTTTGTTTCTCTGTGTTGTTAGTTTTGTTTCCCTGGGTTGCTGACTTCGTTGAATTATGTTTAATTTATAAGTTGAAGAATTTCTATCTTTGTTTGCATTGTTTACTATCTTAGTGGGTTGGTTTACCTGTGTTGCTATCTTGTTTGCCTGTTATTTACCTGCACATTCTGCTTTCATTTTTTAATCCTTTGCTGCCTAGGTAACTAGGTTAGTATCCTATTACTTGCTATATCTTGTTTGCCTATTATTTACCTACAAACTTGCTATATCTTGGCTTGCTTGGGTTGTTTTCTTGGTTACACTGGTATGATGTATTGGTTGCCTGGGAAGCTGGGTTGGGTTTCTTGGGAAGGTTTCTTAGTTTCCCTGGGAAGGCGTCTTGGTTGCCCTGGTCGCTGGGTTGGTTTCCTTAGGTTGCTATCTTGGTTGCTGTCTTATTTTCCCTATGTTGCTGGCTTTGTTTCCTGGGTTGGTTTAACTAGGTTGCTGTCTTGGTTGCATCATATTCACCATGATGTCGTGGTTTTGTTTTTGAATTATTTATTGTCTGGGTTGGTTTCCTATTACTTGTTGTATCTATTTAAATGTTGGGTTGGTTTTGAAAGCATTGAAAGTTGAGTAGTGATAATAAGTACCATTCTAAACTGATTGTGAAGTCATTTGGGGAAAAAATTATTACAACCAAGTTGCATTTGTGTTATCTTCTAATCAAACAGATACTATGTATAACTCTAAAATACAAAATTCCGCCTTGGATGGCAATACCGCAACTATAAAAAAATGTATTGTTGACTCACATTTAATTATTTGATGAATTATTTGGAGGGTTAATCTGAGCTGATGACTCAATCATTCAACTAATTCATGGATTTCTAATTAAATCAATTTAACTATTTATATTTTTTTTGAAGTTAGCGTAAATCTCCATGAGGGAAGGCAAATGACTTTCGGTCTCCAGAGTTTGGAGTTCTTCAAATAGTCAAATTTATATTTGTAAATTGTAATTTCAAACTTTTTGATTTGTAATTTGTGAAATTAAATGTTTGTAATTTGTGATATGTGGTATGTAATTTATTTGTTCATTTAAAATTAATGAATTATGATGTATAATTTGATTATTTGTAATTTTGAATAATTTATAAGTTGCTTAATTATGTTTAATTTATGAATTGATGAATTGATGTCTTTGGTTTGCATTGTTTGTTGTCTTGGTGGGTTGGTTTACCTGTGTTGATGTCTTGGTTTCTTGTTATTCACCTGCACGTCCTACTTTCAGTTTTTAATCCTTTGCTGCTTAGTAACTAGGTTGGTTTACTGTTACTTATTGTATCTTGGTTGCCTATTATTCACTTGCAAACGGGTCGGCGGGTCAATCCGGGTTGACTCGAATCCAGCTTGGGTCCTGAATAGTGACCCATTTCCCTAAACGAGTCAGGTTTGAGTTGACCCATTTAGGTTCGGGTCAAGTCGGGTTCAACCCGTTACCTAGTTTTGACATCCCTACCTGTGATCAAATGCAGGTATTTATTCCACTTATAGTTTCTTTTTTAAAAATATTTATGTAATTATTCTTATGCCTTCACTTAACTACATACACTACATACAATGAAACCATCTCTTTAAGACATACGAGATGTTACGATGATTCTATGGCCAACCTGATGACTCTTAACTCCAACAAACTATTGTTAACAGGATTGGAGAATTGAATAATGCTATGATAACACAAATGTACTTAGAGGAAACACAATACCGTTCAAACCCCTAGGGAACGGATGTAGGTCTAGTTGACATAACTAATATAAAAATATATTTTGCATTATCTTTTCTGATTTTTACTCTTCTTTACTTTTAATTTGTTGCAATCTAGTTACTCTCTTAGCTTTTGTTGGATCATTGTTAATTTTAGAATATATATATAATGCACCCTACCCCTCCTTGTGTGCATCACATTTTTTGAAAGAGTGACTTTCAAGACATTCATATTATGTATTTACACTGATATGTGAATAGTTATGAAACTTAATATAAGTATAATTAGTAAATACATATCATTCAAATCTTGAAGCTACGGAAAAAAAAAAAAGAGTTTCAAAATACCTAAATTGGGCAAATAGTCAAGCTTTTTTCTTAGAGCCTCAAAAGATAAGGCACAATAGAAATATCTTGCCATGTTGTGAAGTCTAGGGCTTTCGAGGAAGAAAATAATTAGAAATACAATTACATATATGTTACCGGAAGTAAAAAGATGATCCTGGGGGGTAGAAGATTTATGTTTAACAGAGAGCACCAAAAAAGAAAGAAGGTTCAAAAGAAAAATGTTTCTCAATTTGGATGAAATTAGTCAAGTGTTTATGATGACAGCTATATATTTAATGTATATGTAAATTTTTGGTGCTAGATAGATAAAAAAATTATTAGATATATAACTATAAATATTTCAAATGATATGGAAGTGAATTCCAAAAAGATTAAAGTATTATAAAGTTAGTCGTGGGAGCTGCGCCATGTAGTCCGGCTGGTAACCCATGCGCCAAGTGGATTAATAAAAAATAACAGTAAAAACGGTGGCTTCACGCATCAATTGGTGCTTGACTGGTGATCGCTTCCTATCTGCAAAACGACCCTCTCAAGATACATACGTAAAATAGCGAACAATATAGCTTTGACCACATATCGAAGGAACAGGCCAGACGGAGCTCATAGATTCTTCGGCATCCGAATTAAGGAAGGACGATGAATCCGCCCTCCTCCTCCTTCCTCGTCTTGCTCTATCTATCACTTCTTTTCCCTCCAAATACAATCACGGGGACCTCCCACGCCACCGGAGAAGTCGGCGTCCTATCTTCGAGTTCGCGGTGGATCGTAGACCAGAACGGGCGTCGTGTCAAGCTGGCCTGCGCGAACTGGGCGGCTCACTTGGAGCCAGTGATGGCGGAGGGGCTCGATAAACATCCGTTGGACGACATCGCCGGCGCTGTTAGGTCAATGGGGTTTAACTGCGTGCGGCTTACTTGGCCTGACTACCTCGCCACCAAGGCTTCCATTGCTTCGCTCACTGTCAATGAATCCCTCCGCCGCCTCGGCCTCGTTGACTCGGCTGACGCCGTCGCCGTCAACAATCCCCAGATCTTGAACCGAACGCTCATGGAGGCGTTCAAGGTGAGCACTAATTTCACTTACACAGGTTGATTCCCGCTTGCGAACTTTAACTTTCGTACCTTTCATTTTTAACCAATTTGCGAGGTAATGGTTGGTGTTATATTCTTGGATTATTTAGGGTTTACTTGGTCTAGGAATTTTGTCAATGTGTAAAATAATTTTATAAGATATGTGGGCTTAGTTCCTTAGTGGACTAAAAAGAATTTTAAGATTGGATTTTTCGTGGAGCATTGGATAAATCTAACAATCAAAATCATTTGTTGTTTTTGTCAACTTTTATGGGATTATTTATATATGAATTATGGAGGTTCTAACTGGAATTATTTGACCCAATCCAAATTAAGTCATCCAATTTTATAATTAAAACGTTTGATTGGGTTGAATCCGTTTAAGTCACCGATCAAGCTGAATTTTAATTTAAGATTTCCAAACAACTCGATCTTTAATCCAATCAACAGGATGTGGTATCCACTCTCGAGATCCACAACATCATGGTAATATTGGACAATCAAATAAGCATTCCTGGTTGGTGCTGTAGCAAATTTGATGGTAATGGCTTCTTTGGAGACGAATACTTTGATACCGATGAATGGATTGAAAGCCTGAAAATAATGGCAGCAACCTTCAACTCCTCAAGCAATGTTATTGGGATGAGCCTCAGGAATGAACTTAGAGGACCAAGGCAAAATGTCGCTGATTGGTACAGGTATTTATGCCAACTATATCTAAGACAAGCCAAACAAGTAAAATTTTTACTCTTCTAAATATCTTTGTTGTCATGTTATTTGACTAAGATACATGCAAATGGGAGCAGAAGCAGTGCACTCTATGAATCCCACTGCTCTAGTGATTCTTTCGGGTTTAGATTTTGATAAAACCCTCACCTTTCTTTACGACAAGCAAGTGGAGTTGACATTCAAAGGGAAGCTTGTTTTCGAATTGCATTGGTATGGTTTCTCAGATGGTGGAGACTGGGAGAATGGAAACATCAATGTAGTTTGTGGAAATGTATCAAAGAATATGTTGGCCAGAGGAGGTTTTCTGCTAGAGCAGGGCTGGCCCTTATTTCTGTCTGAGTTTGGAGTAGACATAAGGGGTAATAATCCAGGCGATAATCATTTCTTGAGCTGCTTCCTCAGTGTGGCAGCTGAACTTGACTTAGATTGGGCCATCTGGGCATTACAAGGAAGTTACTATATTAGAGAAGGCCAGCCAAATCTTGATGAGACCTATGGTGTGCTAAGTTGGGACTGGAGTAAACCAAGAAACACAAACTTCTTACAGAGAATTTCAGCAATACAATCTCCTTTCCAAGGCATGCAATTTTTTTTTTCTATTCTTTGCTTCTTATTTTCCTTCTTATTTTGCTTACTTTGTTTTCTTGAAATAGATAGTAACATTGATTTTTGATTCAGGACCGGGCCTTTCCAATAGATCACTATACAATGTCATATTCCATCCATTGACAGGGCTCTGTGTTCTTCAGAACAAAATGAATAGGAAACCAGTTCTTGGTTCATGTGCTGAGTACGAGGCCTGGAACTATACATCAGGACATAACCTAGTGCTGAAGGATTCAGGACTCTGCTTGATTGCTGAGGCTGAGGACAATGAGGTAAAGTTTGGAACCAACTGTGAAAGTTTGAGTTCAAAGTGGGAGCTTATAACGGATTCACAGATGCTCCTATCAACTAAAATTAACAGCAATGGTAGCATCGTATGCTTGGATATCAACCCTGATAACAACCTTATCACTTCCTCATGCAAGTGCCTTGTTGAGGAAGGGTCATGTAGTGGTGAAAGCCAGTGGTTTAAAATAGTTTATAGTAACAGAGAAGAAAGTTCATCTTTTTCAAAATTGCTTTCGGTTTAAGGGAACTTTCATTCTTGTTAAAATTGTATTATTCTTGAGCGCTTCCTTGATTGATAAAATTCACAGTTGCCTCAACAATATGAAAATGCATTTTCATACTTGTAAGATTTTTCATTGTCTAAATTATTGTGTGCTTCCTTTACTGTATTATTCGGAGCTGCCCCAACATTTAATTTTTTTCACTTTCTTTTTGACATCATTTTTGAATGAGGTCATTTTCCCTATATCAAATATCAATCTTCATACATCAATCATTGAACCATACTTCAAACTCTAAATCAAACTATGTATTATGCATTGGCATAGTACCTTGATCAATGACATATAAAACCATCACTTGACAATTACCCCTTCCTGTCATTTGATCATCTGATCTACCACTTGAAAATCACCAAATGATTTCCAGTGATATGATCATTGCAAAGCTAAAATTCCATCAATTATTAATCTCCATCGATCAATTAAGACCCTAAATCTAAAAAAAGTATTAAATTCATCTGTTGGCAGTCCCCAGTGATAGTTGGCTGATAATGTGTTCAATTACTGATGATCATGGATAGTTGTTAATGATTTGAGTATTTTAAACTCTAAATCATTTTGAATCATTGATTAAATCAAACCTAAATCCAAACAAGTGACTAAACTCATGGACAATTCAAAACTCCAAAATCCAATGTTAGAACTAACTCAAACCCTTTCAAACCCTTTGATCCATAACCTATTTTTTTAGAAATTTTCATCACCCATAAACCTATCCATGTGACATTGGATTCATGATATATATGTCCCTGGGGTCAACCATATTAGTTTGATGGTATTTCAAGATCCCTGACTCCTAAAACTAAAAATATTTCCATTGGCTATAAAATCTTCATATATTTATGGTATATGCCACTTAACATGACATATTGTGTTTTTTGACCTTGGAAGCCTCTCCAAACTCATTTATTATGATCATCATCACTAGCATGATGTATTAAACTAGCATTAAACCTTGGTTGATCGTGGTTGACCAAGGTGACCATAAAACCCTAAAATCCTAAATCAATAAAACTAAACTTTCTTTAAACCTCAATATGGCTCAGTCAAACGAAGGTATTTAACCTCCTCCATCATATTCAAAATCTGATTCGGAGTGCATTGAACCAAATCTCAAGCCCTGATCAACCTTGGTTGACCCACTCAACTTAGGTTAACCCAATTTCCCTTTTACCCCTTTAAGTCAAATTACATGCATGTAGACCCCACTAAAACTAGGGACCATCTTTAACAAATCCTAAACATCATTTAGAATGTATTGAACCAAGATAAAATCAATGGCCAAACTTAGTTGACAAAGTCAACCTAGGTTGACTAAAGTGCCCTTTTAGTCCTTTAACATACATTTGAACTAAATGACCTTCCCATTACCTAACACCACCTCTAACAAACCCTATATAACATTTAGAATGTACTGAACCGAGTTCCAACACTTAGTCAATCCTTGTTGACCAAGTCAACATAGGTTGTCCAAAAGGCCATTTTAGCCCTTAAACATACATGTTGAACTAAATGTCGCTACCAAACTATGGGACCACTTCTATTGTGTCCAAAATATTATTTGGAATATATTGAAACCATCATTGACCCTTGGACAAACTTGGTTAACCAAAACATGCCTTATTCACTTTAAAAACTTAATACTCGTATTTTGACCTCACCATTGAACCAAACTCTAAGAGATAGCTCATTGGATCCCCATGAGTCATTAAAAAAATATTGAGCTCTTAGGCCCACCTGGTTTAGTTATTTGGGTTGAACCAAGTGAACCAAAAGGGGAATTTTGTGAGCTAAAACCCAACCCTTTTAAAATTTAATTGCCTAAATTACTGTAGCAAGTGTGTTTTTACGCAATGTATATTAACCATGAGTCCCAACTCATGGTTTGACCTGTGTAAACAATTTTTGTTGAACCAAGCCACCCAAACCAACTTTCTATGGCTTAATCTCTATTTAGCCGAAGTTGAACTCAACATTAGCTTGCAATGAGTCTAAACATTCCTCCTACATCACATGTCAAGCTCATGCTACCTCATATGCTTATGTGGCAATATTCTCTAAAACCACCTCTATACAATCATTAGTTCAACTAAAACTTCCTCACTAAAAAAATAAAAAACAAATAAAAAAAAACCTAAAACTTCCTCACTAATAACCCATGCCCTTTTCAAACTCTCTAGAACCATCCCTTGGATCCTATTGGTATGTCTTTAACTGCATGGTTGCTGGCCTCGACTTAGGTGGCAAGATCCAAGCCCTCCTATGCATTATCTCTCTCCTATAAATGCCCCCTCCTCTTAGGAAAACGATTGATCAAATCATTTCCCCAGCTCCAAAATAAGTTCCATAGCTCCCCATAGCCTCCCTTTGCTTTGCATAGTTAAAAAAAAAAAATGCAAACCATCAAGAGTGGATAAAAGGAGAGAGAAAGGATAATTTCTGGCCAACTTCTGAGCAACTAGAATCTAGCTCCTAGAGTCTTCTTAGAATTTGAAGAGGATCCTTCAAGCAATTCATAGAGTTCAAGATGTCGCAAATTCACCATAGGTTTGTAAGATATCTGCATTTGAAGTTTAAATTTCAAATTGAAAATACCCAAAGATCCCAATTCTTGGAGCCTCCTAACTCCAAGCATTGAAAGCATAGAATATCTCTAACCTCAATTTCAAATTTTGTCAAATTTGAATGGTTGGATTGGAAGTTATGAGCATTCAAAATTTAGTTCATTTTGAACTAGATGGATCAGATCCATTTGATATATCCAATTGGCCAACTGAACAACCTATATCAAATAAACTACGTGCGAGTGCCTTGAGATTTGAATGTGCGTCTATTGAAACCATGTGTGCGCCTTTGTGGCCACATCTCCAATGTCTATGCCTTCACGGTTTGATCCAACCGTTGGATCAAACGTCTGATGTGGTTAAGTTACTGCGTCGATCGTTGATGTGTATCCTATCAATGATTACCGCACTATATGATAAAAATCGCCACACTAATTATTGGTAGTGACAACTAAATGCATTTAAGTAATCCAAAAAAAATTATATACTTTAATAAATCACATAATATATATTTCTGCTCCAAATTAAGTTATATTAGGCTCATTAGAAAGGGCTGTGACTGCACTTTATTTTAAAAATATTTTCAATAATTTTTTACCAATAAATGGTTTGGAAATTAGAGATGAAGGTTTTACATTTTTCTTTATTTTTTCAAGATCCAATTGTCCAATTGAGCTTAATTTTGGAGGGTCGATTCTTGAGCATGTTATTTACATGTTGTAATTTTCTTGAGTCATAGTGAGCTCGGGGTTTTTATGATTTGAATTTCCAAAGTTATGTGTTAATTGTGGACCCATAACTTCAAAAATTCCTAACGTTTAGAATACTTAAAATTTTCTTGTAAATTTTCTGTGGAATGTTTTTATTCATGTAAAGGCTAGTTAGCCACTAAGTTTATCCTAATAGTGTAACTCCTAAAACAAATTATCAAAGCTTTAGATGGTATTTATCTTTGATGACTAATTTTAAAATATAGGGGTATTTTTATAATCCCAACATAAATGAGTTTAAAATACATGTATTCATTTACATATGTTTCAAATTTTACTTTCTTTGAAGGTCATTTAGTAAAACCAAGATTCATCCACATAATTTACTCAGGATCTTTCAAAATTCATAATAAATTTAAAGTAAATGATAAAATTACATTTAATATATCAAAATTCTTAGAATAAAAAGCTTAATAGAGGAAAAATAAAAGACACTTAAAATTCACTCAAAATAAAAATTAATTTAATAGTAAAAAAACTAGAAGAACTAATTAAAATAAATAATTAATATATATATATATACACCGAATAAGTTTTAAACACTTGAAATCATTTATTCACAGCGTGGTCAAGTGTTTGATTAAATAATTTTTTACAATTGGAAAACATTCAAGATATTTGGAGCTGATTTAGTAAAATAAAAAGAATAGAAAAGTATATTGAGTAAATAATTATATGAATCCATTAAATTACCAAACTTTAAAAATTCACAACTAATTATAGAGAACTCCAAATCCAAAAAATTCAATGGCATTGGACTCATCTCTTGGTCTAATTTTTTTTTTTTTTAAATTATAAGAACTCCAGAACTCACTACAAATAAAAAAGTTAATTATTTGAACAAATTTTATTCATTCAAATAAATACTAAATTTGTAAAATTCATAACTTATTAATAAAAATTCAAATATAGTAAACTCAATGGTGTTAAACTCATAATTAAATCTAATATTTATAAAAAAATATTAAAATGTTAGAAACACTACAATAAAAAAAGTCAAGAAATAAACTCCGCATTAAATGCAGTCACACTAGAGGAGTTACTCAAATCTTAAAATTTTAAAACTAATCGTACTGTACTATTTCAAATCATATTAGATGATTTATCATGATATTTCCTCCAATATGAAGTTAATTAAATTATGTTTTGATTTTTTTTTTTTTTATTGTTCATACTATACAATCTATGTTTGTATAAACAACTAATAGAGTACGAAATGGGTACGTACCAGTTTGTCCCAAACAAACTCACTTTTTTTAACTATTCATACTGTACAATGTCTATTCATACAGATGACTCACAGAGTATAAAATGGATGCATACACATAATGTGTTATACACATGTTCTTACAAAAAACCCTCCATACATGTAAAATATAATCTATGAATAACATGCATAATGACTACAACAAATGCAAGTATCCACGGGCCACTATAGAACTCTTAGTACACTTGGTCTATTATCCACGAACAAGATACAAAGTGACTATATCAAGTGCAAGTGCTTATGAGATACAGTGGGAAACTCATCATGCATAAAATAAGCTATCTACGAGCATCTACAAATGTAAAGTAGGAGATTCATTAGTGTACTATAATCCACATATATAAAGAAATATGTAGTGCATGACAGTCTACCTGTATAAAGAAGCAAACAACTCAATCTAAAAGCTGCTACAATATGCCATCGGATCCACAACATCTTTGCAAGCGGACTGAAGGCATTTATAAATATTGCAAAATACCTCCGTACATGCACAGTAATTTGTATAGACAT